TCTTACTGTATCTAATTTAAAAATTAAATCATATCATAGGTATATCTATATAGGAAAAATTGTATATGTGTATATATATATATGAGAGAGAGAGAGAGAGAGAGAGATAATCATTAACTTTTCTATTTCCAATAACATATATTTTGGGAGAAAACTTAAAGAATTATATGCTGAAAAGTTAATATAGCAATCCTGAAGTTGCTATCTTCAGAAGGATCTGTCTAATTAGTTTGACCCCTGACTGGTATCTGAGAATTTGGCTTTTGAAATTGTTCGCTTCATTCACTAAAAGATAAGAATGACTCACTGTGATTAGACTATATAAACAATGTAATTATGGTGAAAATCTAATATATTCTGGTAATCTGAAATTTTATGACTTTCTAGACAGTGTCTAGTTCCCACTTAACGAGTCCCATTATAAGACGTCTTGGTCACTGAGTCTGTAACGGGCATTTGTGGGAGAAAAAGCATGACATATACAAATGCTGTTTGACTTACAGTGGAGTTATTTCCAATAAATGCATGGCAAATTGAAAATATTAAAAGTTAAAAATCATGAATTTAATTCCCATAACCTATTGAATGTCAATGCTGAGTGACACAGTACAAGGTAAAGTATCAGTTGTTTTGCCTTCATGATCACATGGCATTGGTGTGCTTTTTGCTGGTGGAGAAAGGAGCATATTTGGCGTGTTCACTCATGGGAGCATCAGAATCCTTTAAGTGGATTTCTCCAGATTTCACCTGTGTCTTCTTTTCCTGCTGTATATACTTTTACTAATATCTTATACTTTTACTTATATCTTAGCTCTGAGTGCAAATACAGTATATGTTGATTCCCTTGGATTCTTCTAGTTCAGTGGCGGTACTGGGTGTTATTGTGGCATGGGTGTTATTGTGTTTTTCATTTAAGAAAAAAGATGTTAATTATGAATTTTTTTCTAAACTAAAACCTCAGTATTCAAGTTTAAATTCAGTGATGGCACTTTGTGATAAATAAATGGGTTTTGAGTTGCAGTTTGGCACTTTGTCTCTAAAAGGTTTGCCATCCGGGTTCTAGTTAACCACTGAACATGTGATCTTGGAGATAGGCCCCTAAAAAAATGGGACTCTCAGTAGGTACCTTTCGGTGGTCATTTGGTTTGGGGATGCAGAATACAGGAAATTCCTATAAGTATTTTGTTGGGCTTCCAATGGGACAGTAGTTATAACCACATGTAAAACTTTCCAGAAAGAAGAGTAACTATCATTTCTTAGAAAGATTCCTGGGAAGACCTGGAAGACCTCTATAGACATCAGAGTGAGTGCTTCTGGAAAAACAGTCTGACTTCAGTGCCCCTGTGCTTATTCATGAGACTGATAGTATCATATCATTAAAGTCTGTTTTAATAATTTTTACTATTCCTGTCACAGGTAAAATGTTTTGAAGATTATTTTTATTTTCTGGCATGAAATCATTGTTTCTTTAATCCTCTTTTAAGTAAAAGCAAGATGCTTTTGGTGTCCAAGATTGAACTCTATACCCTATAGGGAGACACTCAGTATTTGTACCCTGGATCCTAGAACAATTTCTGTCATAAGGATTGTCACCTGTAAATATTTGCTGAACACATGCTTGCTTTGGCAGCACATATAATATTTGCTGAACAAATTAATGAATGAGGAATAATCAATTTTAAAATAATCATAGAGTACTCATAGTCACAATGTTAGTGGGATGCAGTTAGCTACTATTGATTTTCATAGAGCTTGAGTTTGAGAAAAGGCAACATATTTGACCAGGACAATTTGCACAAAATCTTAAGAGGAAAAGTCCATGTGTGACCAGGTTACAGTTATCTGTAATAAAGACAGGAAAATTCAGATAATGAGATGATACAAAATGGAAGCAGTTTTGCTTTCCCTTGAAAATCAACCTCCCCCCATTCCAGAAACTAGAGTGAGAATTAAATAATTAGATATAAATGGCTGATTCTGATGAATGAGCATCAGAGAGATGTTACCTCCAATGTTCTTTTTCTATTTTTTTTTAACCAGTTCAGACTGCACAAAAGGAGCAAAGATGAATAGGGTTAAGTGTAGGAAGAAATAAGTGACAGAAGGAATATGTCTTAGTCTATTTGTGCTGTTGCAAAAAAAATCCTAAAACCATATAATATATAAATAAAAGAAATTTATTCCTCACAGTTCTGGGGCTGAGAAGTCCAAGATCAGAGTGCCAGCAGGTTTGAGGTCTGGTGAAGACTTTCTCTGCTTCTAAGATGGCAACTTGAAGGCTGTATCCTTACATGGTGTTTCTACCACAAATGGAAGGACAAAAAGGGCGAATGCTATATGAAGCCTTCTTTAAAAGATCCTAAATCACATTCACACAGAAGATCTAATTACCTAACCACTTTCTAAAGGCTCCACCTCTTAACACTATTGTTTGGACATTAAATTGCAACATGAATTTTGGAAGAGATAAAAATATTCCAACTATGACACAGTGATAATTTCAGTGAGTGAGATTATCTTGGCATGAAGATTTTCCACAGATACGATGAAACAGTGAAAATTAGAAGCTATCACTATCTGAGCTTTTAGACTGTCCTAGGAAACAATTTTTTAAAATCTTCATGGACACCCTTGCTTGCTTTCTCCTAATTGATCAGACTTTGGGGCAGTTCTAGGTAACTGATAGGTAACATCAAGTCCATTAATTCGGTATCCAGTTCAAGGCTGCACTGGATGAAGGTAAAATAATGAGCACTCAGACAGATGCAGTCCTTCCCTCTAGAAAGTGTAGACCAGCTGGGGAGACACATAATAATCAGATAATATATACATATATGTAACTGACAATTATGTTAAGGGAGGAAGGTGTAGTGTATAAGGGGATTTGGGAAACCTGATGTAGTGTGACTGTGCTCTCAGGAAGAGATATTGGAGATAGCATTAAGTGCCAAACAGAAAAGGTGGATGCAGGTCTGGGAGAATGGCTCCCACACAGGGGACAATTTGTAAAAAGTTAGCAGTGGGAAGGAGCTTGGTAGGGAGATGGCCAAGGGGCCTAGGAATAGAAATAGAAGAATAAGGAGTGTGGTAAAACAGAAGAGGCAGGAGGATCACCCTTTATCCAGGAGTGGAGGGCCAGTGGGATAGGTTAACTATCCAATCTTTAATCTATGATTGATGGAGGCCTCCTGGTTATTACTAGGGCGAGGCTGCTGTGGATTGGAGAGGAGGAAGAGTTCAAGTCATATGACACATGGCATTCTAAAGTCAAATTGAAATGATTTTGGATACTAATCATTAAAAAAAATCTACTTTTCTATGGGCATCACTCTTTCAGAATTAACTATGTATTGAGAATCTGTTTAAAATATATTTAGCACTCCTTTGAGTTTAATAAATAAGATAATATTGTTCATCTGGGTATAGCTTCAACTTTTTGTCTCCATATTGTAGTGTTTAAAAGTGTACCAATTAATATCAAGGCCATTGTTTTCTTTTTAAAAATTAATTTCTTGCTTGGACAGTTCTGGTGGACATTGATTGCAGCCTTTTGAAAAACTTGGAGCCACAGGCACCAGCATAAGCTGTGTCCAGATTCCTAAGCCATAGAAACTGTGAAGTAATCAATGTTCATTATTTTAAGCTTCTGAAAATCTATCTATCTAAGAAATAACAAATGAAAGGCATACAAACATGTATTACAGCAAAGGAGGATATATGGTAAGACCTTAGTCCCAAATACCTCAAATTTGCAATGATTTGAAATCTGGCCATTATACACATACTACCATAGGGCCAACAACTTAACAAATTAGGATTTAAACATTTTCTGTTTGAGTTTCTGGTCTTTCATTTTTCAACCCTTTGAGTAGCCAGTTCTGACAAATGAAAATTGCCTTTATTGTCATATCAAAATATAATCTCATAATGTCGATCATTCCACAAAAACCATCGATTGCCCCTCTTTCTTTGATGCATTTTTCTTTTATTGATGAAAAGCAAATTTAAATGATATCTATTAGTTGTTTCTTATATGGAAAGGTGAGAAGAGACAGAGTTGGTTATTCTTGGTAGGGCATCTGCTACCATCTATTGTTAGAATGTGCATTATTTTTAGGTTCTAGATCTACTTAGGTAATGTATTCTTCCTTTCTTGTGAGTCCACTTTATTATCTCCTGCAGGATGATGTGCACTATTAAAAATAAAACATTTTAGACTATTTGATTAGCACTGTGGGTAGGAAAACATATTCATTCATTGAAGAAATATAAAGTAGTAATCACCGTGAAGGATTCTGTCCTAAAGGACATCGCAGACAGGAGATGCACTTCTGTGTCGTGTAACAAGTACACAGCGAATAAGGGATTGAGAATGCAAACTAAGTGAAAAAAAAATTAAGAATGGAGCTGGGAAAAGAGGCTAAATTTGGGCAAATTAGATGATAGAAATGCCACAAAATTAATTATCTGTAAGTAACATAGAACTAAATGGCAGCAAATAATTTAAAACCTTAGTTTTTAGAGACCTAATGCCATATCCCAGCCAAGGACTTGAAATGTTTACTCGAATACATAGTGAATCTTTCTGTTTTCAGCTCTGTGTTTTTAAAAGGTAATTTCCCATATACAAGAAAGGAGAAGGTAGTTTCTTAAAAAAAATTTCCTCTGAACTTGCTGACCTTTAAAACTGACTTAAATCTTTAACAAGGTTGTTCACTGGGCAGCAGCACTGGGTGAGTCGACTATGTCTCACCTCTAAGGGCTCCTGGCCTGGATGCTGAAACTATCTGATGATACTTGCTATGGACTGAATATGTAGCTGCCCCAATTCTAAGTTGAAATGTTAACCACAAAATGACTGTGTTAGGTGGCAAGGCCTGTGGAAGGTGACAATATCAAGGCAAAGCCTTCATGAGTGGAATTACAGGGACCCCAGAAAGTTCCCTTGCCCCTTCTGCTGAGTGAGGACGCCGAGAAGACAGTTGCCTATGAACCAGTCAGAAGCCCTCACCAGATGCTGATTCTTCAAAGTCTTAGTCCCAGACTTTCAGCCTCCAGAACTGTGAGAAGTGTTTTGCTATTTCTGAAAAGTCACCCCGTCTATGGTATTATTACAGCAACCTAGGCACACTAAGATACTGTTCTCAGGTGACAGGGAGGGCAGGGCCTTCTACAGGAGCACACCATCCTGGGGAATGTAGTTCTCAGGAGGGCCCAATGAAACATAAAACATGAAACTCCCTGAAAAAAAGTGGGGGATCAGATAGAGTCAGCATTGCTGCTGGAGGAATGGGTCCTGTAGCCCAAGGGAAGGCTGGTTGTTTGTGTCATGGTTTTAAAACAATGATCAAATCTTCTTCAGAGAGGACCATTACAGTAGCATATTCTAACATGTCTAATGGATTTGATTCATCAGAATCTTCTTAATAAGAAGAAAATAATCTATACTTTCATATGGTTATTTATAGTTTAGAAAATACATTTATTTTACTGGTACAATGAAGAATATCGATTTGGGAATAGAGATAGACCATGATTCAAAGTCTGATTCTTCTACTTACTGGATATGTGACCTTGAGTGGTTACTTAATTGTCCTTGGTCTCAATTTCCTCATCTGTAAAAAGGAGATAATAATCTGTACTGCTTAGGATTGCTTTGGAGAATAGCAGTGATGCAAGTAAGGCAAAAATTCCAGGAACTTGCATGTGAAAGAAATGCTTTATTTAAAGAATTTTTCCTCCCCTCACTTTCATTTTTTTACTGAAAACAATTTTCAGCATGCTAGAATTTGCACTTAGAATATTTCAGTGGATATTCTATGGAAAGTACAGTAACTACAATACATTCACCCTAACAGTCATAGCCATTGCCTTCAGGTATTATAATTTAGCCAAGTGTGTCCCCCGAAACACATTTTAAATAATATTTCCCACCTGGGTTAGGTAGCTAAAGTGTATCCTAGAGTGCTGGTAGCTGGATGGACAAGAGTTCTTCCAAACGTAATCACTCATTTTCTAAAGAAGGACCAAGCCATGGGGTAATATTAAACTGATGTTAAGTTGGTTGACATTAATTTAGTTTGTCAAGCCAAATTGAAGTGACTGATTCATGTGAAACTGACGTGGACTCATATCAGTTCTGTGAATTGATGTTGAAACTAGAAGTAGAAATTCTAATGGAGATTTTTCTGTGTTTTTTTTTTTAAGGCCAAGTGAGGAGAAAGGAGCCATGCATGAAGAATATCTGGAAAGCCCCAGCACCACTTCCTCTGTTTCCCCAGAATGTATCCCATCCTTATATCTATAGGAGTTTTCCCTGACATCTTGTAGTTCAGATTCTCGTCCTGCTACTGAGGAGCTGAATATGTATTTATTGTGAATATTACTGGGAACTGGTACAACATAAGATTATTACTAGTAAAGTCTATTAATGTGGAGGAAAGGCCCAAAGCAGAGCTTTGCTGGATTAGGGAGAGAAAAAGACAGAAGGATTATTAGAGACTTGAGATCTAAAAGGAGGAAGTGGAATCAAACAGAATCCACTGAATGAACAGGGACACTGGAACAGGAAAGAATTTAGACTTGGAAGCCCTCTAAAAAGTTACGTCATAATTAAATGGGAGGTTTGTTTGCTGTTTTTATGAATGTCACTACCTTTTGACCAATAGGTCAAAGATTTTTCTCTCACTAGATTTGCATGCAGTGGGGAAGGAGAAAAAGTTTAATCTCCTGTCCCACACTGAGAGGGCGATGGTGTGGAACCGACATTGTTTTGGGGGTGGAACTCTGTTCTGGCCTGAAGAAGAAACTAAACAACTGTAGCAATGATAAAGACACACCTGCTAGCAAGAACCCCTTTGTCTGAGTCAGAACATGAAACCAGTGTAAGGAAGTATGTATGAGAGGTAGTGGCTAGACTTGCTCGTGAAGTGTTCTGTTGTTTTCTGTTCGTGGGAACAGGAATGTTAAGGGGTTAGGCAATTGCAATGAAAGATGAATTTTCAGGCCATGCGGGTTAGGGAATTTACTGTGGAAATTTTGCAGAGGATGTGATTCTGCAGCTCTCCCTCGCCTAAAAAAAAACAAATTACTCCATACTGGACTTTCCCAATAAGATATTTCCTTTTCTAAAAGTTAACTTCTTTCCTGGATAAAAAAGACCCAACATTTTGGGTTAAATTTGCTCCTGGAAAATCAGAATCAGAATCAAAAGCTGAAAGTCAGAAGGACTCACAATTGATTTGGGGATAACTGCTTCCTGATTCATTTTGGAATTCTGTATCAATTACTCAGCTTTTTT